GAAAGGAATAGTGTAGGGGAACAGGGCTTTGAATCCTGAGCCCCCTAGCCCTTTGCTATTCACCATGTGGTGCAGGCACCACGGTGACATCACTTGGGAGCTGGTGAAAAGTGCCGAATCTAAGGGCCCACCACACGTGTGCTGAATCAGAATCTGCATTTTCACAAGATTCTCAGGTGACTTGTATGCATATTAAAGTTAAAAGAAAACACACCGCTGATTCATGAATCCATGGCAACTTTCAAAAATAGCTCTGAGTAGCAAGAAATGTTTGATAGAGCCCCTGTGGAGGGGCATAGGGAAGTTGCTGCCATTGCTGGCAAGGGCTTGACTCAAGAAGGAGGGAGCCTGGATCTAATTGCAGTAGAAATTGACTCAGCTAAAAGCTAGGCATTTAGGAGGGCAGAGGGGAGTGATGTGGGCTTCCGAGGTGAGGCCATTAACGGTTGGATTATAATGCAACGTGCCATAATGGTGTAGTAATGAAATGTAATTGATATGGTTCTGTTATTAAAAGGGGCACTTCCTTTGTGTCAAGGCTTCCTTCCTTCTTAGAAGGTAGATGGTCACAGGGTAAGGTAATGAGACAAAAGGAGCTCGTTCTGTAAAAAGTTTTAGTTTCTCCTTTGGCCTGCTTTTTGTCCACTTTCAGGTGACAACCTCCCTCATGCTGGCAACTTTGCCAGGTGAGTGTTCTCCAGCCACGAACTTCATACTTTAAAATTAGCTGGATACTTACAAGAGGGAATGTTAATATGAAGCCAGGTGTCCAAGGGGTCCAGGTGACATAATGGTCCCACTCTCATCTCTGAAAGGTCTTGGGGAGTGAGCTCCAGCCTGGGGATGACACTCCTGGTGTCAGAGCTGCCTCAACATTGGAAATCTCTTTGATGGAACCCATGGGACGGGGCTTGGGCAGGAAGCTGCTTCTCCATTGCTAAGCTCAGTACCTGTGCCACAGAGGCATGATTGCATCCTCCTCCCTGATCATTGGTTTGCTATTTCTTGCTTGATTTCTATTGATTGTTCCACTTTTTGTGTGCTCAATTTTTTCTTTTTCTTTTTTTTTTTTGTTTGGCCTGGCACAGTGGCTCACATCTGTAACCCCAGTACTTTGGGAGGCCATGGCAGGCAGATCACCTGAGGTCAGGAGTCCAAGTCCAGCCTGGCCAACATGGTAAAATCTCGTTTCTATTAAAAATACAAAAATTAGCCAGGTATGGTGGTGCACGCCTGTAGTCACAGCTACTTGAGAGGCTGAGGCAGGAGAATCACTTGAACCCGGGAGGTGGAGGCTGCTCTGAGTCAAGATCGCACCATTGCACTCCAGCCTGGGCAGCAGGTGAGACTATCTCAAAACAAGAAACAAAAAAACAAACAAAAACCAACTCTTTTTTCTTTATTAGATCTTCACGAGTTTCTTTCTCACCAGTACCTTTCGCCTGCATTCAGAAAAATAAAATAAAAATTTGAAATGGCACTTATCCTGGAAAAATCGTTGTATCTTTCTCATTGACGTCATGACAATTTTGAAAAAGGAAACTCTTAAGGTTCCTACAGCATGATATATATACTAAATGTAAAGCTAAAAAAAAACCAGTGAGAACTCTCCTAAAAGGAAGGTGATGGGAGGAGGAGATAATTGTGATAAAAGCTAAGGTTGACCTAAAGGTGTTACTAAATTGCACAGTAAGTTTAATGCTGGATCTGGCAGCCAAAGTTGTGCATATGGCTACTTATTCCACCTGAGTGGGCACTAGGCAAGCTTCTCGAAGATGCTTTTACTTGATACTGAGATAACCATCATCCATAATATGTTTGAGTGCATGAAATTTACTAAGGCTAGGCACTTGCTGACACCTTTGCATGCATTATCTAATTCTCACACTAACATTAAGAGAGAGGACCGAGTAGTGGCTGCAAGTGTGAACTCCAGAATCAGGAAGCTCAGGTTAGATCTTAGCTCTGCCACTCACACGCTGTGTGACCTTGGCTGATCCCTTTCCCTCACTCATACATAAACAGAAATATCAGTCATACCTTAAAATGGCTGGGGACATTCAATGATTTAATATACACAAAGCATGCAGTATCTGGCTCTTAGTAAGTACTTGCCATTATTATCATTATTTCTATTTGACAGATAAGGAAATTGGGTCTTAGAGAGGTTAAGTGGCTGGCCCAAAGTCCCCACAGCCATATCAAATTGGCACCAGATCTAATTTGACCCCTCTTAACCACTTCACACGCTGACTCAGAAGCTTTGGGCTGCTCTTGGCAACCTCTTGGGTGCAAATAAGAAATTCCTCAGTATTTGCCTTGAGCAAGTTGGGGAGGCTGCTCTGAAGCTACATGGTGTCTCAGATATTGCCAGCTGTACTGGGCTCTCTGGAGTCCCTTGTCCACATCGTTAATGTTCCACTATCTCTGGTGAATGTTTCTCAACTGTGGATTATCTTTGGGGAACTTATTCCAGCTGTTTGACTTGGTGAGTCCACTGGGATAATATCCATTTTCAATGCAACTTTAAGTTTAAATAATGTGGGAGTTGCATTAAACATTATGGTATATATTTGTTTATCTATGGATTCTATTTATTTATATTTATGCTGAGCCACCCATCTCTTCCCAAACACAATTGTAAATAGCAGAAATTTAAGTCAATTGCTACTACATTTAAAGTCCGCTTCAATATTACATCCCCTAGAAAGATGCTAGCCTTGTTTTTTCCCACGCTCTGAGAATACACGTTTCCCTAGGCCTGGGTAGTGATGTTGAGGTCCAACGTGGCTGTAATTTCCCCCCACCCCACCAGGTGTCCCACTGGTCCCTGCTATCTGACAGGCAGCAGGAAAAATGGCCATCTTCAACCCTCCAAAGGGGACCGAGGATTTGAAGGTGGATGGTGGAGAGACTGTGGGAAGGAGGGAGGGAGGCTGTGACAAGACTCCCAGATGCTGCTTCTTGTCTCCAGACAAAGAGAATTTTTCACATTATTTTTCTTTGATGCATAGATGTCTCTCCATAAAGCCCGGCCAGATCCCTGCAATTTAGGAAGCTTTTATTTCCACTAATGAACTGGTGTCTGGCCAGGGCTTTTCATCTCTGAGCTTGAGGTTGGGGCTGCTGGCTGCTTCCCGTTCCCTTTGCCTGAGAGACCCTGACAGCCTCCCTCTCCTCCTCGGCGTCTCCTTTTTCTTCTAGGGGCTGATTGAAAAAGAGACAAGAAAGAGATTGTTTCTTCTGCCCTGTAAATTTCCTCAAATATCCCTGAATCAAGGAAGTACCAGTGTGTGACTGTGGCACTAAGTAGCCCTCTTGCCTACATTAACCTTGGTGCACATTACTAGACTGTGGTAGAAATATTTCCTCTCTGCTCTTAAGTAAGACCGGCATTTGCTTCTCTTGCAGGGAGGAGTAAGGGAATTTGGATCCACTGACAAAAATTTAGTCACTGGAGCATTTTAAATTTCAAAGTAAATCTCTCTTTCTTTGCGGGTCATTGGCTCCTTGCCTTTCATCAGTCCTGCCTTTTTCTTCCCTTTTTTCTTTTGGAGGATCACGCACATGTTTGAGAGGCTGCTCTGAAGCCACATGGTCTCTCAAAAATTGCTGGCTGTACTGGGGCTCTCTGGAGTCCCTTGTCCGTCATCACAGGTCACCCCAGCAGAACCTTGGCATCTACCATAGACCTGAGGTGTCCAAATCGGGGCAGTGCTCCAAGTGGTCTACAAACTGGTGCCCTGATTATAGGTTATTCTGTGATCGAAACTTCACCTAGAGATCTGCCAAGAATGTGAATGGGATGTGTGCATGTAGCATCAGTTTTTGGAGCTTCAGTGTGGGCTCTTTCTGTACCAAAAGGCCTTGATAACAAAGGCCAGAACACAGTCCTGTGGGAGTTTCTAGCTTCTGTACCCACCGCCCCATGATATGCATGGCTTTTAATATTCGGAGAGCCTTTGCCAATCCACATTTTCTTGTGTACTGGGCAACTGGAGCCCGGATGCGATGTATTATTGATAGGATTGTAATTTACTCCTCTGAGGTTGTATCTACAGTGTATACCATTAGCACAAAATATGAAATTACCAGTGGTTGTATATATTTGTCTATTCAGGTTTGGCTCAATGATATTTGCCTTTTGCCTCAATAAAAGATCATGAATAATGAAAGCAGGGTAATATTTTGTTGTTGTTGTTGTGGCAAGGGAATTTTGATGAAACCATTTTCTCTGCGTTGTGCTTTTGGCGAGCCATGCTCTGCAATGAAGACAGGAGGCATTAAAGAGTGGGGGTTGGACACAGGAGATGGATGAGCACCTCGTGCCAGCTCTCGGCACACACTGGCTTCCCTGGCAATCTGCTCGGGGCCAGGCTTGGGCTTTCTTTTCCTGCAAGAGGGAATAAGCAATCTGTGCTGCGCTGGTGGGAGGAGGTGGGCAGTTCAGACTGCGGTGCCAGAAATACGGAGCCCTGCGCCTTTCTTGTGAAGATAGCATTTGCGTGAGACTTGGGGTGTGGGGGGACCCAGAAGCACATCAGGTAAAACCTTTTGTAGTCACAGCATTGTGCCCTGGCTAGTGTTTGACGGTCTACCCTCTGGTCACCATCGCTGGCCATTTTGGTTCCTGCCTCTACCTGGGCCAGGTGGCACATAAATACACAAGCATTTATTTCCTTTAAAAAGATTCCAGGTCATAGGGCTCAAACTGAGCAGCAAATAGAAATGACACACCGTGTCTGTCTTGTGCTTTTTGTTCTGATCTTGGGGCCTGTTTCAGAACCTTGAATGGGAGGTGTTTGCTGGTTAACTAGGAGTTTGCTGGACAACCAGAACCCCACAATTGGATTTACTACGTAATGTTTATGAGTAAACATCTTCTTAAAAAATGCCATGGCTTGGCTTCTTCACCCTTTCGTTGCCTGTGGGCCTCAGAATGAAGGGGTGGGGGTGACAGAAACCAGGTTTTAAATCTGTATTGACTTGACACAGAAAAATATTTTGGGGAAAGGTTTATTCCTTTTAGTTCCTGCTGGCAATCTGGGACGCTCAGGGGTCAAAAACCAGGGAAGAGTTGGGGGAAGGTGAAGAGACCCATGTCCCTCAGAGGTCACTGGCTGGGGGACAGGGCTTGGCCATGCAAGTGGCAGGTATCCATCCGCAAAGCTGGAATCTCCTTTAGAGTGAGCTCCTAAGAAAAACACCACTCAGCCATGGAGAGCTGATACATTTTGCTGCCTGGGGCACATTCTGGAGGTGAAAACCGGTTTTTCTCAAGACATGTCAGGGCCAGGCTTTGTTCGGTCTACTTAGCCAGACTGGCTCCTTAAAGGGGACTCCTTTATCTGAGGAAGGGGACAATTATAAAAATGGCTTGTGAGTGGTGTTCCCTTTATAACTGGGTTGGACTTCCTTTGGACTTAAGAACGTTCTCTTGTTCTACACCTTCTTCCTACACACACACACACACACACACACACACACACACACACACACACATCAATCACACGGAATTGCAAAGAGAATGAAGTCAGTGTTAAATCTATCAAAGCAATCATAGACTCTGACAACTGAGAAGTATTATTTGTTTTTTTCCTCCCAGATTTCTACTGAGCCTGGTGTTTTAAGCATATGTCTTGGGGAGAAGAGACCCACAGAAAGGCAATTACAATTGGTGAATGATTAATGTTGGATCTGACATTTTTATGTGTCAAATATTTTTAACTGCATTAACCTTTGCAGAATTTACACCCATACTATGAGATATGTCTTGTATAGCGTCGGAAATCTCTGCAATCTGCCTTCACTTAAATCTTATTTACATTTACTTTATTACAATATAAATGGATTTGAAAAACCTTAATAGAGGTTTTTTTACCCCATTCTGCAGTTCTGCTTGCTCTGTGGGAAGTCTAAGGGCGGCAGGGTTCCTTGCTGATTGCTAATAGTGTCCCAGCCACCTGCCTGGGGACCCCAAAGAGAGGGAAAGCCAGTGTCAGTTCTTCAAGCTCATGTCTCAGTTTTAGCCTAAAGGGGAGGTGGCTTAGAAGGCCTGGAGTTGGCATCCGACAGTATAAACCATAGAGGCAGATAGGCTTTTCAGTAGACAGGCAACCTTTAAGTTTTTTTATAAGTTACAGAAAACGCAAATTTTCATAGCATCAATTTTAGAAAAGAAAGATTAAGTGGTTCCCATCTGTGGTGCTTTTTCCAATCTGCCTATCACCAGTCCCCTCTGCAGAAGTACGTGCAGTCCAGATGTCTCTTTCATTGATCACATTTCTCTCTGGCTGTCTCTGTTCCTAAGTCAGAGTTACTCTTGTTGCTGCTGCTGTGGCTGCCAGGGCCTCATCGTCGTCAGCTCCATGCCTCCTGAACTTCACTCCACTGAAATCTGGTTGGGTATGAGACAGACTCCGGTGGAATGAAGGACAAGAGAAGCACATGGATTGCCCGAGGATCTTTTTCTCAGAGGGTGGGGATGCATGTCAAGCCCAGCCTGTGGACACTGCATTACCTGGCCAAAGGCCTTTGGCATCATTGAATCACACACTTGGGAGATGTCAAGGACCTGAATACTCCTACCCCTCTCCAAGGATCACATCCTTCAAGGGGGCTGCAGAGAGCTAGTTCATCAAAACATCCTTGCACCTGCTGGATGCGTTGGGAGATGGGTCTGCAAGGCCAGGGACTCTTGACTGTTTCTCATTATCAAAGCAGCCACCCCAGATAACTCCAGGTGGAACCTCCTCTGTGTTTACCTAGTTGGGATGCTGGTCACCCTCTCCCTTTGTCTGGGTCCCACTGTGTGTGCCATAACTGAGCTCAGTGTGGTTGGCCCTTTCTAAAGGAAAAAGAGAAGGCAGGCGTTCTGCAATTGCTTTAGAAAAACCCAGCTACTCTGAGCTTGCTTACCAAGGCCGTGGAATGCAGGGTCATGGGCATTCCTCTCCACAAGGCACTGTCCAGAGAGCAGGATGAGCACTTTGCAGCCCCGTTTGCCAGAGTGAAATCCAGAAGAGGTAGGTGAGGCGCTCAGGAAAAACCACAACTCCCGTCAGGAGCCAGGCCCATTCATGGGGTGGGTGGACAGAGAAGAGTAAGACTCCTTGTCCTCAGTCCTAAAGACTTATCTAGGAAGGCTAGCCTCCAATGGCCCCACATCCTCCCCCAGATGTGCCTGGAAAATGATTCAGCTGTTTCTTGGTTGAGCATGGGGATGGAGGATTTAGGGAGGAGGGGGGAAAGCTAACCTGGCTTTCATAGACTGAGTCAGATAGTTTTCTGCCCTTTCTGAAAAGCAATGCTCATCGGCCCGTTGCTGTGCAGTTGCTGCTCTGGCCTCTTCCTTGTTGTGTTCAGACATGCCCGTGGCTCAGTGCAAGCCCCATAAAAGGCTGTTCTCAGCACCGACATGCAGACTGGGTGGGTTGGGGCAGATGCACCTTGTTGTTTGGAATAGTTTCTTCCTGGGGCTTGTTCTGACCTGATGCAGGGAGGCAGTATCTCATATGTGGCTCCTCCCTGCCTCCCCACCCTGCACCTAGCCTTCTGGACATTGGGTCTCTCTGAAAAATACCCTCAAGCAAGGGCTTGAGGTTTCTAGCTAGTGCTGAGGAGGGGCCACACTCTCCTCTGTCTGAAGGTAAAGACTTTGACAGGGTGAACACAGAGCTCGTTGGGAGGCAGGGATCTGGGTATTGAGGGGAAGAAGATTGGTTCATCTTCCCCCGCTCTGCCTTCTTAATAAACACTCACAGTGCTCAGTTCTCAATAGTAAGAACTGTGAGAACTGCTTGTGATTTATCTGGACTAGATACTCCTCCTGCACTGCCTTTGACCCATTCACAGTCAAAGGGAAGAAAGAGGCCAGACTGTTGGCTGTGATAAATAAATGATAGCCCAGGATGGTGGGAGGGAATAATGCCGGGAAGGCGAGATTCTTTGCCTTCTCTTCAGATTTCTGCTTAACTCCGAGAGCAAAAGGGTCAGTCAATTCTTCTCCCTCCAGACCTTTGGCACCCCACTTTTACCCTCCCAACACGTACCGTCCACTAAATTCTTCATGTCCTTATTCTGGAGCGTGCAGAGAGCCTCACTGTCATATGGGGTCCATACCCTCCAAGATGGATACTTGAGAGATCTGCAAAAGGCAAATGGGAGGTGGCATTAATGTCAGCCCTGAAAAAGGGAGCTCTCCCCTTCTCACTCTCCTCTAACCCTACAGACCTGTAGCTGCTACAGGCAGAGACAAAAAACCACGAGTCAGAACCTGTATCAGGAGACTTGACCTGCTCTGGATTCTGGGTTCAAGATTCTTCTGCCCACGATGCCTTCACCAGCTGAATCATCGCCCCGGCCCCCGTGGTCTTCACCGTGGTTATGTGGATCTATAGCCAAGCACATGCACGATCAGAGAATAAACCGTGCATGGGCTTGCTATAGGATAAGTTTATCCAGTGACCACTCTCTGCCCCCAGCTGCTCTCAGGATTATGTCCCCAGTGTCTTCATAACCTTAAAGCCAAATTTAACATGAGACTCAAAGAATGGAACTAGATCCTAAAGTTTCCAGTACAGCTGCACCCTGCACCCCAGGACTGCAAAACCTGCTGAATATCTGTCCATCTAGTTGAGTAAATCTCCACAAAACCAGACAGAGCTGCAATCTTGGTGCTTAAACTGCTCACCACCCACCTTATCACACCGATTCCCTTTATCAGCAAGATTTACTGCCTGGGATCCCTGGAAATCCTTGAAAAAACGTAACAGCGACTGGGGATTGGTTTTAAATGCTGCAGGTTCAGCTCGTCTAGTCTTGGAGGAAGTTGATAACTGACCTGCAGTAATATGCCATTTTCGTCTCCTCTTCCTGCCCAATGAGTCCCCTGATCTAGCCACTCAGCTGTGTTTTTCCAAAGCTCCCCAAATCCAGAGATTTCAGACTCACCTTTAAGTATGAGTACCTGTGCCTTCAGATATTAGGACCCAGCTTTGAGTTTGATTCAAAATAATAAATTTTTTTGTCATAAGATAATGCAGAACAAAGAGATGGCTAGAGCCATGCATAGGAGAAGAAGAAAAGAAATTTCAAGTCTCGGATGTTTCTTTTGCCCCTAAAGTTTGAGGACAGAGACCAAAAAATGAGAAACACTTACCCTATTTAAAGCACCCAGTTCAGCAGGCCTGTGCAGAACAGAAATGGCTCTTGAGGAAAGGTGGGGGCTGATCCTGAATAGTTGATTTCTCTCTTTAATAAAAAAGAACACGAGGCCGGACGTGGTGGCTCATACCTGTAACCCCAACATTTTGGGAGGCCAAGGTGGGTGGATTCCTTAAACTCAGGAGTTCAAAACCAGCTTGGGCAACATGGTGAATCCCCGTCTCTGCAAAAAAATACAAAAAATTAGACAAATGTGGTGACGTGCACCTGTAGTCCCAGCTACTTGAGGGACTGAGGCAGGAGAATCGCTTGAACCTGGGACGTTGAGGCTGCAGTGAGCCAAAGATTGCGCCACTGCACTCCAACCTGGGTGACAAAGTGAGATACTTAAAAAAATAAATAATTAAAAGCAGAGGAAAGTGAAATTGAAGGAGAGGGAGTAAAAGTAGCTAGAAAGGAGAGAGTTTGGAGTGTGATTGAGAATCGAGCTGAATTTTTAGAATAGAGATTAGTAACAGACAATAAAAGAGAAACTGGTTTTTCCAAGTCAAGGGTGAGCAGGAGAGACTCGGCCCATTTTGAGGAGGTGGTACTAGTTTCACTCTTTATTTATGCACCTCTCAGCAAAGCTTCAGGTTACCTGCTGAGCTCAACCAATGGAGAAAGGGCCTGGCAGCTGGCCCCTCCTCTCAGAACCCACACCCCTGGGGGGCCATGAATGGAGAGGTCTTTCTGCAGGCTACCCTTACTTTCTCTTGTTCTGTAAACACAATGGGAAAAGGGAAGAAGCGAGGTCTCGGTCAGCCCAGAGTTGGCGAGACACTGCGGGTTATCTGAGCCTTGCACCTGAAGACTTCGGCCTCCCAGAGACTTAATGGAGGAGAGGGGAATGCTCAGATTTTATTTTGTCCCAAGAAAGTTGTGCTGTGTGTGTGCGCGCGCACGCGCGTCCTTTGAGTTTTTAGCCTGACCTGAGTTGCTATCTCTACACAGTGCACTTCGGGAATCCAGCAGGGATCGGCCAGTCCATCCAGGCAGCGCAGTAGAAAGAGGCCGGAGGGTCAGAGCCAAGGCCCAGCCAGTGGCTTATTCTAGCATTTAGTACAGAGAGGGTCTGCTGCTCTCCTCGTGAGAAGCAAGTGTTTCTTTTATAATCCGAAAGGCTTTGTGACCTGCTTCCCTTTCATGTCTGGGGGTGGGGAAAAGACCACACTGTGTAGGGGGGAAGTTAAGGAAGGGGACGGCAAGCTCATTAGCAACTTTAAAGAGGGTGGCCTACACACTTGATGATTTTACCCCACCTCCTTCCCCTGCGCAACCTGCGCTCCGCCTCCTGCCCCTCCCCCATCTCTCCTCCCACCTTGCCGGCTTCCCCCTGGCTTCCCGCTCGTTCCCCCTTTCCGTGCACACCTGGAGGGCAGGGGAAGTTGAAGTCTCCTCAAATGTGGCACATTTCGCCCAGGATCCTGGCCTGCCTTCCATTTGTTCTCCAGGCAAATCTGGTGTGCAGTGAAAGCAGATTCCTCTATTCTCCAGCGGAAGGAGGGGAACTGGAGAATCCACTCCAGAGGACCTCTTAGTGCAGGCCTGTCCCACAGCCCTTCGTGGAACTGAATCATGCCTGTTCACAATCTCCCTAGAAATCAGCTAATCTAAACTTCCTACCGCATAGACTGGGGAACAGAGGTTTGGAAAGGTGAATTTCTGTCCTGAGTTCACACAGCCAGTGCAGAGTCAGGATTCTAATCGAACCGGACCTCCCAGACCCCATTTAAAAGCCCTTTATAACAAACACTACATGTTCCTTTCCCCGGTTCTGGAGGATCTGAGGCTTGTCTGAACTATTCTGGATTCTTCCTGGGAGAAGAAAAGGCTCCAGGGGGGAAGGAGAAAAACCAATACAGAGCAATAGGAGGAGGCAGGGAGATCTTCCGCTGATAGCTTCCTTAAGCACGGGACTCCTCCCCTAAACAGTGAAGCCCATGGTCTTCCGGCTGACTGGACCCAGTTTGCCTACACTGAGCCTCAGTTCTCCCATGTCCCAGAAAGTATTGCAGACAGAGAAGCAAATTGTTCCTGGCCGCAGTGATGCACCCACAATGTGTGCTGAAGACTCTGGGCCCCCTTCTCTCCCTTCCCGCTCCCTCTCTCTCTTCCCTCCAGCATATCGTTCCTTGATTCGTTCATTCATTCATTCATTCTCACTCACTCACTCTCCCCCTCGCGCATCATTCCGTAGCATCGACTCTGTGCCATGTGAGTGAGAGGCTGCGTTTACCTTCTAGCAGCTCCCAGCAAGAAGAGGCATAAACATAGTCCAATGCGAAAGGGAACTGACGCATTTGTCTGTGAGATTCAGGGAAGGCCCTACAGGCAGAGTGACGTGTTGGAACTGAATCTGAAAACATGAAGGTGGGCTGAGGGTGAGGATGACCCGTGTAAATTCAAACCTTGAAGAAGGAGCTCTCACACCTTCAGAGCAGCCTGGGATGCCGGGGACGGGAGAGCGGAGCCATCTTGTGACAGGCCTGAGGACCTCATTCAGAGGCCGGGTAGCTGGGAAGGCAGGGAATGAATGGACCAGAACTGTTTTTCAGACGCCAGCTAGGACTGGAGGCAGAGCGACTAACTGCTGAGGAATATGACTGCCCCAAAATATAGGGGAGAGGAGGGTAAGGAGGAGTACCTAGGGCAGACAAGAATCAACAGCCCTGCTGGTCAGTTTCTGTCCCCTCCAGGGCTCATCTTTGACTTCTAAATTTATTCAGAAAACTGTAATAAACCTATAGATGTATTGATTCCATATCCACTTAATACCATAAAGAAAGACCATCTGCCCTAGATTATTATAATGTTCTTTTTCTTCCCTTCAACCGCAGTCACCACAGCCGAGGAGGATGCTTTGTGGACTAGCTGGACACTTATTGGTGTGGAAGGTCGGGGTTGGGGGGGAAGCATATCTGGGTGGCTCTGCTGGAAACTTCTTCGCCCAGCCCCTCAGCCTGGCTCTTTGTTCCAAAGTCAGCTTGTGAGGCAAAAGCCTTGATGTCCCCCTTTCCCCAGGTTTCTAGCTCCATGTCTCTGAGAGGCATTCCCCAGGGTCATCCAGGGTGGTGCTGTGCTTATCTGAGTGTGTTTGGGGTGCAGAAGAAGGGGCATGGAGGGGCGTAGGGTGGGCGTTGGAGGGGCAGGTACCAGGCTTCCTCACGTCTCCACTGAGGAGTAGCCATGGTAACCATGGTTTACACACTTTGGCTGATCTTGGACCTCACCTTTCGTTTTTGTGCCCTGTATGCCCCCTTGCTCCTCATTTCCTCTCCCCCTCAACTACCCCAGCCAGAGTTCCTCTCCTGTGAGAAGGCCTTGGCCCTCACATGCATCTCTGGGTCCTGGAAAGACTCTGCTATTCTCTCTGCTCAAATTTCCAGCCCCATATCTAACTGCCACCCAGTGTTTGAGGAGAAAGGTAAAAGATCTGGAGTTCTTCAAAGTGTTCTAACACATGGTTAGCATTAGAGGTCGGTATGGGTCTCTTTGACTAAACTCTGGTTATAAGCTCATCTAACTTTGCAACTTCCCCTCCCTGCCTAGCACTGTACCTGAGGTCTTTGATAAAGGTCTGTTGAATCAACCGAGGTTGTTTCTTTAGGGGAGGAACACCAAAAGAGAAGATACCTGGATTCCACTGCACAACATTTGGAGTGTGTTGGACTCTTGGGGGTGAAACAGTAAGGACAGTGTGATGCAGGGAAACTGTGTGTTCCCAGGAAGCTGCTGCAGACATCAGGGTCCATGACCATAAGGGGAGTGCCCCTTGGGCTGCCTATAGACTGGAGCTTCATCACCAGCCCTCTTCTGATCCAGGTTTACAGCTTTGTTCCATGTATTGAGGAGCTGGGAGGACCTCACCCTGAGACATTTCTTGGTTAGGACTCAGAATTGGGAAGTATACATGCTAGTCCTTCAGCCACTGGTCAGGTTCTACACAAATGTAGAGTGGGGGAAGATGCAATTTGACAGCAGCATAAATAGAAAAAACCCTTAGGGTGTGAGCTGATGGTAAGCTTCATGGGACTCAGTGGTGTGATATGGCTACCAAAAAAGCAAATTCTTTCTTTGGTTGCATCATTGGAAATAAGAAACAGAAAATAAGGGAGATGACAGTTTTACTGTACTCTGTACTGATCATATTATACCTGCTTATTACATTCATTTGCGGGCTCCACGTTTTAAGAGGAGTCAATGCAAACCTGAAAGAGGATAAAAAAAGTAAGCACAGAGGAAACAGACAGGCAACAACAACAGAAACTGTAATGATTCTGGAGTCAATACAGCTTGAGAGAGAGGCAAAATGTCCACCCAAGGAGTAAGTGGAAGGACCGAGCAGCCTATCACCTTCCAACCCAAGACCATGTACACACCCCAACAATGCAGAACACCCATCTGAGCAGGTGGGGCCAAAGGCCTAAACCCAAGTTAATAAAGCAAACCCAGGCCCCTTCCTCCCACCTTGAATACATCTCTTCTCCCTCTTCATTGCATTTCTTCCATTGGTTCTCTCAGTGTGAGTGTTGTCCAGCCAGAAGCTGAGTTTGGGTTGGTTGTCATTAGCCAGGTCTCTGTAGGTTGGCTATTTCCTGAAGCCACACCCCGACCCAGCACATAACATTAGTGATCTGTGCATGCCTCTCCAGCACATCCTATTGTAGTTATTGAGTTTTTGGTTTTCTCTTTCACTAGACTGTGACCTTCTTAAAAGAAAAGAAAGTCCAGTATTCCTACTACCTAGAAGTTCCTGGAGCATAATAGGTGCTCAGAAACTATTTGTTGGCTGGGTGAAGATGCAGACAGGTGTGACTGGGAGGTTTGAGCCTCTGTTGCTGAGCAGACGCGAGGTCTGGGTTTAATACACCTCTCCTTCACTCTCCTGCTTCCTCTAGATGCCAGAGTGGATCAGGACCTATCCCCGATCTTTAGAAGCTGTCCCTTGAGATTTCGTCACTCTGGGGGATCTGACAGACCTGACAGCTTACTGCCCACTGCTGTACTTCTGTGGTGGGGCTGGAGGCTCCTCATTTCCTCATTTTCTGAGATGGGCTTGTTCTCTGAAAGTGAAGAGAGTGACACAGGTTGAAGCCTGCCT